GCAGGGCTTGCTTGTTTGTTTTTAATATAAAAAAGTTATTTTACAAACGTAAAAGCCCTTTCACAATAAAAGTGAAATGAATGCGCCTCAGGCTGAAGAAAATGTAAATTCACGTCTGTACAGTAGAGGGCGCAGCTCAAACAAATTGCATGAAGAATATGACGCAGGAGAACAAAGTTCAACACTCAGTCTTCAGAAATAAAATGAAACCCAAATGTTATGTTTATCTAAAGTTATTTTTGCTTCTTAGTATGGTTGCATTGGATCATCGAAGGTCAGCAGCAAAGACACTGCTTAATAAAATGGGATTAAATACATAAAGTATATTTAAAATATTTAATTATTGCAGGTTTGCGTCATATTCTGAGTTTGCATTTCACTGTTTCTATTCATTTTGAATAACACTGAATCTGTTTTTGTGCAGGTGAGATGAGTAAATACATGTTCATATTTAGTCTAGATAGAACTGCAGTAAGATCATGTTCACACAGCGAACACAACGCCTCTGCACTTACTCCTGATTTCTCTCAACATGGCAACACGAGAGCTGTTAGTCAGGACATGGGAAACAAAGTAACTGGTGTTACTTGTAATGCATTACCCCAACACTGCTGAAGACAGTAGTGACGTTCTTCAGCTCGAGTCACTTCAGTGTTGTTTCAAATTAGTTCAATTCAAAGTGTCGATGTCGCAAAATTCATGAATTGTGAACTAATTTGATTCAGTTTTGTTCTCATCCAATAGTATCAGTGCTGTGAAATCAATGATATTAGTGCGACAATGGCAATTTTGAAAGAATATATGCGACCCTGGACCACAAAACCAGTCATAAGGGTAAATTTTTTGAAATTGAGATTTATGCATGCTGAATAAATAAGCTTTCCATTTATGTATGGTTTGTTATGATAGGACAATATTTGGTTGAGATGCAACTATTTGAAAATCTGAGAGTGCAAAAAAATTAAAATATGGAGAAAATCATCTTTAAAGTTGTCCAAACGAAGTTCTTAGCAATGCATATTACTAATCAAAAATTAAGTTTTTATATATTTACGGTAGGAAATGTACAAAATATCTTCATGGGACACAATGATCTTTACTTAATATCCTAATGATTTTTGGCATGAAAGAAAAATCGATATGTTTGACCCATACAATGTTTTTTTGGCTATTGCTAAAAATATACCCAAGC